CATTTATTATTATGCAGCTTATCAATTCTTAGATGTCATGCCTACATTCATTTTCTTTTTTAAGCTTTATTTATTCTTTCTATTTTCATCTGGTGTTCTGGCTAGTCTGTTGCTTTTTCAAAAGAACAAGCTCTCTTTCAGACAAGCCTTTTAAAACTAATAGGGGTACTTACAATGATCAGCTTTTATTTATTCATGTAAAACCTTTATCTCAAAAGGAAAAGTAAACTGTTTGCTGTAACTGATTATAAAGTGTGAGCTGGAGTTTGTCTTCAGTTTGTTAGGGTATTTAAATCTGTTTATACATATAATACTTCCATCCCCAAGACTGACAATGTTGCTGTCTTCTGTGCCCCCTGTGCTCCTTCATCCAAAATGGGGCACTGTATAGAAGGTGTTACTGGCCAGATCACCAGGTGAAAACAGAAGGAAAAATGTTTAGAAAAAAACAGAAAACTGATGCAGCCACCACATCTAATGATTGGTAAGCTGCGTTATATAAAATTTTTGGTTTTGGGTTTAATACTGCTTTAATTGCCACACAAGACATTTTGTAAATAAATACTATAAAAAATGTATTTCCATTTCAGTCAGAAACTGCTGTGATCTTTGGAAGTTATCAAAAACTGAAATATTGCTTCTAGCAAAATGGCAACTTGCAGGGCATTCTATGTATGTGTGCTATCCCCAGAAGTCGACACTGTGGTAGATGTTATATTTCAGGTATCTTTTGCAGTAGAAATATAATGGTTGATGGGATATATTTTTAAAGCTGGCTGTACATGCTTCAATGTGATTGTACAATTTACTTTAAATTTACCAAAAACCATCTAGTATTAGATTGTAAGGTCTAACGAGCAGGGCCCTCTGTTTCCTCTTATGTCAAATTGTATTGTAACTGTAATGTCTTCCTTCATTTTGTAAAGTGCTGCGCAGAGGCGTAGCTGGGGGGGGCAGGGTGGGTACATATGTACCCGGGCGCCAAGGTACAGGGATGCCAAAATGAGGTCACAAGATCACTGCAACGGCTGCAGCAGACGTGTCATCTGATACATCTGCCATCCACAGTGAGTTACGAGAGGAGAGAGGAGCCGGCCGGGAGAGGAGCGGAGTGGAGGGCAGTGAGCCGGGCATGTGCCGGAGGGACGAGGGGAGAGCCAAGCCGGGTGAGTAGTACCATGGATAAAGGGGGGGGCAATGTGATCGGGAGGGGGGGTGTCTACAGGGACCATATGAAGCAGGAGAGGAGGTGTCATGAGCTGGCCGTTCGTCCCCGGGCGCAAAGTATCCTAGCTACGCCTCTGGTGCTGCGCAAACTGTTGGCGCTATATAAATCCTGTATAATAATATAGTGGAAGGAAGCAATGAATTATTGTTTATGCAAGTCCTGATATTACATATTTTAGTAACTTTAAAGAACAGTTAGTACAGAGACTTTAGATTAATAGCCCCAGTTTTAGGTCCATTGTGGTGCATTGCCAGTCCATTCAAATAAGTGGGCTGCTTTAACACAATATATGTTATCACATAACATAACACACCGCAGCAGATGTGAATGGATTATATTAAAGCCCTCACTGACTTCTGTAGCTGTAGGCACTAGGGAACAATTAATTCTCAAATTTGCAGCAGAAAAGGTTAAAGTCACTTAAACTGGGTCTCAGCTTTCTGCTCTTCATACTTCAGTTCCCGTCTGTGTACCTGCTCTGTGTTTATGTTAGACCAGTGGTCTCCAGAGGCCGGGTGTGGCCCTTTGCATGCCTTTATCTGGGCCTTGTGGCACTATTCCTTTCAATGACATGAAGCACTATTCCTCCCACTGACACAAACAATGAAGTATCATTCCTTCCACTGACACAACAGTGGGGCATAATTCTTCCTGCTGACACCAATGATAGGGAAATATACTTTTCCCTGACACCAACAATGAGACATTATTCATTCTACTTATACAAATGAAGGGACACTATTCCTTCTTCTGACACCAATGATGAGACACTATTTCTTCCACTATCACCAGTGACGATGAACTATCCCTTCCACTGACACCACTGACTTGTACTATTCCTCCCACTGACACCAACAATGGTACATTATTCCTTCTACTGATGCCAGCGATGGAACGCTATTCTTTCCACTGACACCAAGTGTCAGTGGAAACCAAGTCCACTGACACCAAGTCCTTCCAATGATACCAACAGTGGGGCATAATTCCTCCCAATGACACTAATGATAGGGATCTTTTCCTTCCTCTGACACCAACGATGGGACACTATTTCTTTCCACTGACACCAATGACGAGGAACTATTCCTTCCACTGACACCAATGATGGGACATTATTCCTTCCACTGACACCAACAATGGGACATTCCTCCTACTAATACCAACGATGGGACATTATTCCTTCCCCTGACACCTACATGACAGGACACTATTCCTCACACTGACACCAATGATGGGACACTATTCCTATCACAGACAAGTAAGAGCATGGAAAGGCAAGCATGACTTTATTTAAGCCAGTGAATGGTATGAGTCTGTTAAAAAAAATGTGTTAAAATCCTTACAGTGTACTATATACAATATGCCTGGAGTGGATTAGGTTCTACATTTAGTTTAGAGCTGGTGTGTATGGGCATCTGTGTTTGGCTTCTAAAGCTGGTTTGTAAACTATGTTCTGTGGATACAGAATGCCTTGTTTAAAAGTTACCTTTTGAGCAACTCTGTTGCCAACATAAGTGTAGCTCTGGCTGGGCTTTATATAGCCAATCAGCACTCAAAATAAATGCAGCAAGGACATGTTTCTCTCATCTCAGGGAAAAAAAATTCACCGGAACGCACATGTCCTTATTTAAGTTGAAGAAAAAGAGAGGGGAAAAAATGAACCAGAACGCATCAAAAACGAGCATAGAGAAAAGCATCCAGAACGCATCTGGACTACATTTCTATGGTGTGAACCAGCCCTCAAGGAGGAAAAAAAGAGGACCGTTTTTTTACAGCTGAGAGGGAGGACTGTTCACTGATGTGTTATCCCTGTTTTAACCAGCCTAATCCAGCATCACCTTGCCATAACCAGGGGCGGACTATCCATTTGGAAACTCGGGCACTGCCTGAGGGCCCAGGGTCAGTAGGGGGCCCCATGAGATGCCCCTGGTACCTTTTTCATAGGCGTTTTTGAGTTTGGGCAAGGACACAGGGGCCCCATGATCCCCTATTGCCCGGGGCCCCATGAGTTGTCAGTCCGCCCCTGGCCATAACCATGTGCAATGTTTAAAAAAATAAATACAAAATTATTATTTTTATTTTTAAATACTGTCACCAGTCAGTATCCCTGATCACCTCCACACCTGTCGTATGATGACATTGTACTGCACTGGTGACAGTATGTATTAAAAAAAAAATTGTGACTTTTTTTATTTCTTCATGTTACAAAAAGTTGTGACAAAAAAACTCGCCATGTATCTTACTAAATACCTCAGACTGTCTACTTTCCCCCAAAAAAATTGTCATTTGGGGATATTTGTACTGCCCTGGCGTTTTAGGGCCTCAAGTACATCAAAACTGATCAATTTTCAAATTTACAATATATACCTTAGTTTGTAGATGCTATACCATATGCACAAATTAATTAATATACACTGGAATGGAATCTTTTTTTACTGAAGACATGTAGCAGAATACATTTTGGCCTAAATTCTGAAATTTGATTTTTGGATTCTTTTTATTGGATATCTTTATAACAAAAAGTAGAAAATGTTGTTTTCTTACTACTTTTTTTGAGTTTTTTTTCATTTATATAAAAAAAAACCCAAATGGTGATCAAATACCACCAAAAAGAAAGCTCTATTTGTATATAAAAAAATGTCATTTGGGTACAGAGTTGCATGACTGCGTAATTGCCAGTTAAAGTAGCGCAGTGACAAATAGCAAAAAATGGTCTGGTCATTAAGGGAGTAAAAACCTTCCTGAGCTCAGGTTGTTAATGATACCACCATCCTCACCTTTTTTCATCCTTTGTTGCATCTCAGTGTTCCTCATTTCCTGCAACCTCTTTGTAGCCACTTCCTGTCTACATACAAGCATTACATTTCTCAGGACTTGAGGGTGACAACAGTGTACAAAGCCTGCATATTGTAAATTGAAATGCCCATTTGTAGTCTGTGACATGTGACAGAATGACAACACAGCGGCATGATTAGGGTGACAACTCTTAGTCCCTGGTTCCTTTTAGAGGAATTCCTTGAATAAGGACATTAATGGCAAGATCAACAGGACAATGCAGGTGAAATTACTTTAATATGTTAAAACTTGTAAGAGAGTTTAATGAGCAGGTTTATATATAAATTGTCAGTGAAAAAACATACCTATGCAGAGCACTACATTTACATAATAATACTAGGATGTTTATAAGTACTCCCGAACAAATCACTGCATTCCAAATGGATACAGAAAATCTGTTGCAGGCTCTTGTTTATTCATGAAAAAGGAACCGGTGAAATATTTTGATGAAGTCACTCTGAAATGCTCCCATTCCTCCAGGCTTCTGTTTCATTTATAAGCAGCATCTCATATTATTTTGCTGGTGTTATGGCAACAGGCGCTCTCTGTTTACAGAACTATCAAGTTCTGACAGGCCAAGCAGTAGACTTTGCATCACCATGTCACATTAACATGGAGAGCCAGGCTTGGTGTGCGTGCAAGTTTATTGTGCATTAAAGCAGAGTTTTGTGTTTGGGGAACCTGAGGCCAAGGAATTTTGACGTACTTGTACATTATATAACAAAATAGTTCACAGTCAAAAAGTTTCATACAAATACTGAAGTATGCATATTGGTTTCAGACAGAGAGAGATACACTCTGTATATATATATATATATATATATATATATATATATATACACTGTATTGCCAAACGTATTGGGACATCCCTCCAAATCATTGGATTCAGGTGTTTCATTCACCTCCATGGCTACAGGTATATAAAATAAAGCACCTAGGCATGCAGACTGCTTCTACAAACATTTGTGAAAGAATGGGTCGCTCTCAGGAGTTCAGTGAATTCAAGCGTGGTACTGTGATAGGTTGCCACCTGTGCAATAAGTCCAGGCGTGAAATTTCCCTGCTACTAAATATTCCACGGTCAACTGTTAGTAGTATTATAACAAAGTGGAAGCAACTGGGAACAACAGCAACTGAGCCATAAAGTGGTAGGCCAGGTAAAATGACAGAGCTGGGTCAGCACATGCCGAAGCGCTCAGTGCGCAGAAGTCACCAACTGTCCGCAGAGTCCATAGCTAAAGACCTCCAAACTGTGTGTGGCCTTAGATTAGCCCAACAACAGTGTGTAGAGAGCTTCATGGAATCGGTTTCCATGGCTGAGCAGCTGCATCCAAGCCTTAAACCATCAAGAGCAATGCAAAGCATCGGATACAGTGGTGTAAAACACGCCGCCACTGAACTCTAGAGCAGTAGAGACGTGACCAGTCACGCTTCTCTGTCTGGCAATCCGATGGACATGTTTGGGTTTGGCAGTTGCCAGGAGAAGGGTACTTGCCTGACTGCATTGTGCCAAGTGTAAAGTTTGGTGTAGGGGGGATTGTGGAGTGGGGTTGTTTTTCAGGGGTTGTGCTTGTTCCCTTAGTTCTAGTGAAGGGAACTCTTAAGGCGTCAGAATATCAAGACATTTTGGACAATTTCAGGCTCTCAACTTTGTGGGAACAGTTTGGGGATAGCCCCTTCCTATTCCAACATGACTGCACACCAGTGCACAAAGCAAGGTTCATAAAGACATGGATGAGTTAGTTTGAAGTGGAGGAACTTGACTGGCCTGCACAGAGTCCTGATCTCAACCCGATAGAACACCTTTGGGATGAATTGGAGTGGAGCCTGCAAGTCAGGTCTTATCGTTCAACATCAGTGCCTGACCTCACAAATGCGCTTCTGGTAGAATGGCCAAATATTCCCATAGACACGTTCCTATATCTTGTGGACAGCCTTCCCAGAAGAGTTGAAGCTGTTATTATTATTATTATTTTACAGTATTTATATAGCGCCGAAGGGTGTGCTCAGCACTGTACATTAGCGAGGGGGACAGAAAATGAGACAATACAGTACAATACAATACACGAGGGGTTCGAGGGCCCTGCTCTTTCGAGCTTACAATCTAGGAGGGAGGGGATAGTGGTACAGGAGAAAGTGTCTGTGGGGGATGGAGTGGTAGGAGGAGTGGAGGAGATCGGTTGTTAGGTGACAGTCTGATGGATTGGGGTAGGGAGTTCCAGAGGATGGGGGAAGTCCTGGAGAAGTCCTGCAGTCGGGTGCGGGAGGAGGAGACCAGGGAGCTGGAGAGTAGGAGGTCCTGTGAGGAGCGAAGGCCACGGGTAGGGTAGTATTTGGGTATCAGGTCAGTTAGGTAGTTTGGGGCAGCATTGTGAATGGCTTTGTATGTCAGAGTTAGTAATTTGAATTTAATGCGCTGGGCAATCGAGAGCCAGCGAAGGGATTGGCAGAGGGGGGTGGCAGATGTGGAGCGGTTGGTGAGGTGGATGAGTCTAGCCGCTGAGTTCAGGATAGACTGGAGTGGGGATAGCATTTGTTTGGGTAGGCCGGTGAGAAGGGAGTTGCAGTAGTCCAGGTGTGAGATAATGAGGGAGTGTACGAGTTATTTGGTGGTGTCTGGGGTGAGGAAAGTGCGTATCTTGGAGATGTTGCGGAGGTGGAGCCTGCATTACTTTGATAGTGATTGAACATGAGGTTGGAAGGAAAGGTTTGAGTCCAGGGTGACACCCAGGACTTTGGCGTGTGGAGTGGGATTGATGGTGGCCTTGCTAGTCGTGATGGAGAGGATGGAGGGGGGCGAGGGCTGGATGGAAAACTAGGAGCTCGTTATAGCTGCAAAGGGTGGGCCAACTCAATATAGAACCCTACAGACTAAGACTGGGATGTCATTAAAGTTCATGTGCGTATAAAGGCAGGCATCCCAATACTTTTGGCAAAATAGTGTGTGTGTAAATATATCTCTGACTAAAGTTGAATAATGTCCTTGCTATAGGTGTAGGCCATTTATGTACTTCTTGAAGCCTGACTGGAATAATCCCAGGACATTGCTCAGTACTTCCAGGACGTTGCTAAGTGAGGCCTAGTCATTACTGCTCACCATCACAGGAGTGAGCTTTTTCTCTAATTCAGCCCCCTCACATGCTCTTTCTCTCCCCTGATGTAGCAGCTCTGAGCTCACTCCTGTGATGGAGGAGGTGAGCAGTAATGGCTAGGCCTCACTTAGCAATGTCCTGGGAGTATTCCAGTCTGGCTTCATGAGGTACATAAGTGGCACAGTTTTCTTTTATCTACAGACACCCCTTATCTGCATAGCAGTTTTTTGGGTAAAAGTGAACTATCTCTTTTTTTTTGTTTTCTATAAGTTTTTAAAGTCCTTTTCAGCATATTCATTCAATTACACACAGATAACAACACTATCATTCTCAGGGAGATATCTGGCCAACATTTTCTCTCATATTGTTAAGGTTCATGCGCTGCCAAAAAGTTGTTTTTGCTGCCAAAAAGCATCCAGAGTTTGTGTGAATACTTACACAGCTGCTGCATACAGCCACTTATAGACATCAACTAGAAGTTGCGGATATGCCCCAGAATTCTGTAAAGCCCACATGCACGGGCGTATGTTCCAAATGCATACTTTCTGCTTTGGTGGCATGCATCTGTGCACATGAGGGTGCTTTACACAACTCCCAGAGCATACCTGTGTCTATGGGCCACTCTAGGCAGCAGCTGTGGTATTGTTCCTTGGTTTGATTCCTTAATAGAAATTCTGTTTATTTGTGATGATAATGTATATGTATAAACACCATATTTTTTCTGTATTTATTTTCATATATTCACCTATGTCTGGTTTATAAATTGTATTTGTTTTGCTTTCATGTAGTTCCTTGAGGTGTGGTACCTGTTATCTCCTGAGGAAGCCTATACAGGCGAAACATGTCGAGATCTACTACAGCGTATACATCTATTATGGGAACTGAATTTTGGAGACTATAGTCATGCAGCAGTATCGTCACCCTGCAGACAGGATAGTCTCAGATGGACCTCTGGTTTTTAAAAAGACTTTAAAGCTGACCTTCCCTCAAAAATAAATGTTTGCAGCATTCTAGCTGCAAAAAAAGCTGACTTTATATTTTTGCTTACCTTTTTTTCTGTTTTGTTTTGTTTTTTTGCTCATTGTTAACTTGCCTAGGTAAGTCTCTTCTTGCAGCCTCCTGGGATATCAACTTCACATATCCCAGAAGGCAATGACTTCCCCATCTTCAATCATCTTGCTCCACATTATCAGGGGTCAAGATGCAAGAACCCGAAACAGACTTTTGGGTCTCAATGACGAAAGGAAATGGTGGCATGGGACAGTATGTGCAGTGAAAGTGCTGTAAGGGAGAATAGGACAATGCAGGATTCAATAGGATTGTATGTTTCAACTGCATCAAAGGTAAGTGGTAAATGAGATTGATTTTTTTTAGGGGCAAAGTTCCTCTTAGGAGGGAGAGTCAGACTCTTCATTGCCACATTTAACCAAAAGCCGCCCGGCCAATAGCTGTTTAGTGGCCAGCAAAATGCTGTAGATTTCCGGGTGGACGCCATATGGCGTCCTCCCGGGCATGCGCAGTTTTCGCTCTTGCAGAGCTGCTCAGCGGCGTGATCTGTCACCGGCCGTGTACCTCGGACGTGGCCGATGACAGATCTGAGTACCGGCCCCCGTTGCCGGTACCATGTGACCTGCTGTGACCAATCACAGCAGGTCACATGACAGTTGTATACAATGGATGGCTTCATTCATGCCATCCATTGTATACTAGTGTCTAGCTGTGAATGGTCACAGCGATCATATGCACATGCCATGTGATTAGCTGTGGCCAAATCACAGCTAAGCACAGAAAAAAAAAAAACCCTGAATGAATCGATGTCATTCAGGTAAATGCTTGCTTATAGCAAAGTAATTCTTTGCTATAAGCAAATTGTGTAAAATCTGAACCCGACCCATCTCCACCCGGCAGCTGACCGTCTGTATGACAGTATCCTCCCTCTGTCATGCCCTGACCTGGCCACTACTGCATACAACGACTCACTGTCAGCTGCTCTTGACTCCCTGGCACCCCTAACCACACGTAGCATTAGACCCCGACCGCTTCAATCCTGGCAAAACGACCACTCGAAATGCCTCAAACGACGCAGTCGCGTGCTGAAGCGCTTCTGGCACAAAACCAGATCCCCTCGCGCGTTCTCCCTCTACAAAGCCGCCTACCTCGCCTACACCATCTCCCTCCAAGCAAGCCTATTTCATAACCCTTATCAACACCCTCTCCACCTGTCCTCGCCGGCTCTTCTCCACTTTCAAATCCCTGCTCTCCCCCCCCCACTTCCACCCAGCACCTCATTCACCGCCCACGAGATTGCCAATCACTTCCAAAACAAGATTGACGCAATCCATAAGGACATTGTCAACTCACAATCCACCACCTCTCCACCCAGCCTCCCGCCCCCCTCCAATCCCGCAACCCTCCCCTCCTCTGACCTCATAGCCACACTACCCCCCACTATACCCAATGCCCCGCACACCATCACCTCCCCAACACTCCGCTCCTTCAGCCCAACTACCTCTGAGGAGGTCTCTAAGGTCTTCACTGAAGCCCGCCTCACCACCTGCCCCCTGGACCCCATCCCCTCACAGCTCCTCCAGTCACCCCCCCCCCCCATCATTCACTCCCTCACCCACATCTTCAATCTCTCCCTCTCCACCGGCACCTTCCCCTCCCCTCTAAAGCATGCACACATCACCCTCATACTCAAAAAACCCTGCCTTGACCCCACTAACCTTAACAACCTTAGACCCATCTCCCTCCTGCCTTTCACTTCCAAGCTCCTTGAGCGCCTGGCCTACAATCGCCTAAGCGCCCACCTCACTGATAACAACCTCCTTGACCCCCTACAGTCTGGCTTCCGTCCCCTGCACTCCACCAAAACCGCCCTACTTAAAATCACCAACGACCCCCTAACTGCAAAAGCAAATGGCCACTATTCTATCCTCCTGCTCCTCGACCTCTCCACGGCTTTCGACACTGTTGACCACCCTCTCCTCCTTGCCAAACTGCACTCCCTTGGCATCAGGGACGCTGCTCTCTCCTGGTTCTCCTCCTACCTTTCCCAACGCTCCTTCAGCGTCACCTACAACACTGCCACCTCCCCCTCCCTCCCCCTCTCTGTCAGGGGTCCCCCAAGGCTCTGTCCTCGGGCCCCTCCTCTTCTCCATCTATACCTCCTCCCTTGGCAAACTTATTCACTCCCACGGCTTCAATTACCACCTCTATGCCGACGACACCAAAATTTACCTCTCCACCCCCCACCTCACCCGCTCACTCTCTGCCCGCATCGCCCACCTCCTAAACGACATATCAGACTGGATGTCGCTCCATTTCCTCAAACTTAACCTATCCAAAACCGAGCTCCTGGTCTTCCCACCCCTTGCCCCCTCCCCCCATCCTCTCCATCACTACTAACAACGCCACCATCTCTCCCACCCCACACGCCAAAGTCCTGGGTGTCACCCTGGACTCCCACCTCTCCTTCCTACCCCACATCCAACTGCTATCTAGATCTTGCAGGCTCCACCTCCACAACATCTCCAAGATACGCACATTCCTCACCCCAGACACCACCAAACAACTTGTACACTCCCTCATCATCTCACGCCTGGACTATTGCAATTCCTTTCTCACTGGCCTACCCAAACGAACGCTATCTCCACTCCAGTCAATCCTAAACTCCGTGGCTAGACTCATCCACCTCACCAACCGCTCGACATCTGCCTCCCCCCCTCTGCCAATCCCTTCATTGGCTCCCGATTGCCCAACGCATCAAATTCAAACTGCTTACTCTGACATACAAAGCCATTCACAACGCCGCCCCAAACTACATAACAGACCTGATACCCAAATACTACCCTACCCGTGCCCTCCGCTCCTCACAGGACCTCTTACTCTCTAGCTCCCTGGTCTCCTCCTCCCACGCCCAATTGCAGGACTTCTCTAGGACTTCCCCCATCCTCTGGAACTCCCTCCCCCAATTCATCAGACTGTCACCTACCCACCTCACCTTCAGGCGCACCCTGAAAACCCTCCTCTTCAGAGAAGCCTACCCCAATCTCACCTAACACCTGACCTCACCTAACAACTAACCTCCTCCACTCCTCCCACCACTCCATCCCCCACAGCCATTTTCTCCTGTACCACCTTCCCCTCCCTCCTAGATTGTAAGCTCGAAAGAGCAGGGCCCTCGAACCCCTCGTGTATTGTATTGTCACTGTCTTGTCTCATGTTCTGTCCCCCCTGCTACTGTACAGTGCTGAGCATACCCTTTGGCGCTATATAAATACTGTATAATAATAATAATAAATTAAAATAATTAAAAATTAAAAATTTAAAAAAAAATTTAAATTAATTTTTTTTTCATACTGTCACCAGTCAGTGTCCCTGATCACCGCCATGCCAGTTATATGATGACGCTGTACTGCACTGATGACAGTATGTAAAAAAAAAAAATAGTAAAAATATAATTTTTTAATTTTTTCATTTTCCGAAAAATTATGACAAAAAAAATACAACTTCAAAAAACTCGCCATTCCTCTTATGAAGTACGTCGGACTGTCTACTCTGCAAAAAGGGGTCATTTGGGGGATATCTGTACTGTTCTGACATTCTTGCACCTCAAGAAATTAGATTGGCTGTCAGTACTTCAGGATTGATCAATATTCAGATCTATACCATAGTTTGTGAACTATATAACTTTCCTACAAACTAAAAAATACATCGTAATTTGGGTTATTTTCACCAAAGACATGTAGTAGAATACATCTTGGCCTAAATTTATGAAGGACAATTATTTATTTGCAAACTTTTATAACAGAAACAAAGAAAAACGTGTTTGTTTTTCAAAATTTTCGTTCTTTTTTTTGTTAATTTAACAAAAAAAAAAAAAACCCGGTGGTGATTAAATACCACCAAAAGAAAGTTCTAGTTGTGTGAAGAAAATGATAAAATTTTAGTTTGGGTACAATGTTGTATGATCGTGCAAATGTCATTCAAAGTGTGAGAGCGCTGAAACCTGAAAAATGGCCTGGGCAGGAAGGGGGTAAAAGTGCCTGGTATGGAAATGGTTAAGGCTTACATAAGGGTATGTGAATTATAACCAGGCTTAAAGCATTATTACTGGCATTTTTTTATTAAAATAATAATCAACTTATACGCACCTGTTCTGTGCAATGGTATTGCACAGAGTGGCACTGATCCTACTCTTCTGGGGTCCCCCGTCGGCGCTCTTGGCTCCTCCTCCTCTGTGTCTGCTCCCATAGCAAGCACTTTCTATGGGGGCAGACGTACAGGGTCATTCCCATGCTGGGCTCTGTGTGTCCATACACACACACAGTGGAACTTGGATCCACCCTCCCACTCCCTCTTCACAGGATTTGATTGACAGTAGCAGGAGCTCCCTCTGCTGCCTCTGAGTCCAGTGAGGAGAGAAAGAGAGAGCAGTAGTGCTGCTCTTGGGCACAGCACTGGTTTGAAATAGGAGCAAGGTACGTATTTAGGGTGGGGGGCTTGGGAGAGCTGATACTGGAAGGTTTTTTACCTTGCTGCATAGAATGCAGTAAGGTAAAAAAAAAAATTGTATGCCTTTAGAACCACTTTAATTAATTATAAAATGAGGACAGATGCTGCATTCAAGTGGTTGTAAAGTCTCAAGGCTTTTTTTTACCTTCACGAAATTATAAAACAGTGCAGCACAAGTATCACATAATTATGTACCTTATATTAAACGATGTATTAATGACCAAAAAATTATAATTGATATAAATATAAACAAAGAGACAAAAGTACCCCAAAATAGATAGTAAGTGTTGTTTGCCTTTAGGTGTATGCCCAAATTCAAATTCAGTGGTGCTACATGCATATAACCACCACCTCACAATAAAGTTCTTATTTGTCCCTTAGATGGACAATGTTACATTCCTGTGTACTGCTGATGTACTGTAAGTCTCCCAAACCTCGAGAAGACCCTCAGATGACTGAACGGTTTCATGGGACAGTCCCCTCTTCCTCTAGAGCCTCTAATGTTTAATATTTTTGTTTAAATTGCCTTTAATATCACTTTAAGGTTAGGGGCATACAACTAACATCTCTGATGCCATAGGGTGGCACTGGTGGCAGCTGGTGGCAGCTGAAAATATACCACGTCTAGGTCCTGAAAGTGGAAGTTCAGAGCTGCTGAGTAAATACGATGCAGAAATAACTTTGGTATATTATAACATTTGAGAAGAGCTGTGTATTGTGTTGTTTCTTCAAGCAGAAATATTTTTTTGTAACTTTAAAGGACCAGTGATAATTACAGTGAAGAATATTGTACACTAGTATCTGTATTGTATTTTACAATGTATTTTATATTTATTATTTAATATACTATATAATATTGTGTTAATTTTTTTTATTTCACATTCTTATTTTATATTTTCCACACATTTACATGCAGACCATACTGTCCAGAAAAAGTTATAGCTACAGGAGATGGGATAAAGCATATTACACTGGTCGGGATACTTAAAGCAAAACTAAATCTTCCTCACCTTTACAGTCAAGGAAGATACACTATATTACCAAAAGTATTGAGATGCTTGCCTTTACACTCACATGAACTTTAATGACATCCCAGTCTGTAGGATTCAATATTGAGGTCAGGCACTGATGTCAGATGAGAAGGCCTGGCTTACAGACTGTGCTCTAATTCATCCCAAAGGTGTTCCTTTGGGTTAAGGTCAGGACTCTGTGCAGGCCAGTGAAGTTCCTCCACTCTAAACTTGCTCATCCATGTCTTTAAGGACTTTGCTTTGAGCACTGGTGCTCATGTTGGAACAGGAAGAGGCCATCCTCAAACTATTCCCACAAAATTGGGAGCATGAAATTTTCCATAATGTTTTGGTATGCTGATGCCTTAAGAGTTCCCTTCACTGGAACTAAGGGACCAAACCCAGACACATCCATCAGATTGCCAGACAGAAAAGCGTAATTTGTCACTCCAGAGAACACGTCTCTACTGCTCTAGAGTCCAGTGGTGGCCTGCTTTACACCACTGCATTCAACGCTTTGCATTGCACTTGGTGATGTAAGTCTTGGATGCAGCTGCTCAGCCATGGAAACCCATTCTATGAAGCTCTCTACGCACTGTTGTTGTGCTAATATGAAGGCCACACAAAGTTTGGAGGTCTTTAGCTATTGATTCTGCAGACAGTTAGTGACATCTGCGCACTGTGCGCTTCAGAATGCGCTGACCCCACTCTGTCATTTTACGTGGCCTACCATTTTGTGACTGAGTTGCTGTCGTTCCAAGTTGCTTCCACTTTGTTATAATGCCACTAACAGTTGACTGTGGAATATGTAATAGCAAGGAAGTTTCACAGATGGACTTATTGCAGAGGTGGCAACCTATCATGGTACCATGGTACTGAGCTCCTGAAAGTGACCTATTCTTTCACAAATGTTTGTAGAAGCAGTCTGCATGCCTAGGTGCTTGATTTTATACATCTGTGGCCATGGAGGTGATTAGAACCAATGATTTGGAGGGGTGTCCCAATACTTTTGGCAATATAGTGTATGTTCAGATCAGTAGAGCAAATGTACATAAGAATTTATTATTCATGAAAGGTCTTTAAAGTAACTGTTTTGGGAAACAGTTAAATCAGCTGGTTTAGTTTTGCTTTAACACTTAAATCTGCCTGTATACATATAGCTTGAAACTTAAAAAAACAACAACTGTTATGTAACTGCTGGAGTCAGGTTTAATTTGTTTGTTGCTTACTTAACCACTTGACCTACCAGAGGTTTTACCCCCTTCATGACCAGGCCATTTTTTTTTGCTATTCAGCACTGTGCTACTTTCCCTGGCAATTGGTCAGTCATGCAACACTGTAGGCAAATTAAGTTTATATCATAATTTTTAACACAAATGGGGCTTTCTTTTTGTGGTATTTGAGCATCACTATTTTTTTTATATTTTTTTCAATATAAACTAAAAAAAATTATAAAAAGTCTATATTTTCTACTTTCTGTTTTAAAACATATACAATAAAACCAAATTTTGTTCATACATTTAGGCCAAAATGTATTCTGCTACATGTCTTTGGTAAAAAAAAAATGCTAATAAGTGTATATTAATTGGTTTGTGTGAAAGTTATAACATCTATATATATATACATATTTAAAAATTGATCAATCCTGATGTACTGACTGCCTCTCTCATTTCTGAAATACCAGGACAGTACAAATGATCCCTTTTTTTTTTAAAGTAGACAGTGTGAGGTATTTCATAGGAGGCATGATGAGTTTTTTGAAGCTGTTATTTTTTTCTTTTTTTGACACAATTTTATTGGAAAATGAAATAATTGAAAAAAAAATTCTTTCTCTTTTACTATTTTTTAACATACATTCATCAGAGTAGTTCAGTGTCACTATAGTTGCACTGTACTACTCTAGGGAAGGTGATCAGGTTTTTTATTTGTTGTACACTTTGATTGCTGTTACAGTGCTGATCACTGTTAACAGCAGTGTTTTAAACTGTAATGAATGGGTTACATTCATAAAAGCTGTGATTTACTATTGTGCACTATGGTTGGTCCACAACTATCACATGGTACAGGGTGCCATGATTGGCCAAGGTGTGATAGCTTTGGGTCAATAACAGCATCACCATAGGAACCACAGCTGTTATGCATGAAATTAATTCATAACAGCTTTGTTGACATTGTGATCCAGCCTACCCTGCCGCGGTAAATGTATTGCGGCCAGGCGGCAAGTGGTTACAGTGGAACTGTTAGACAGGACAATTTGATTGGTTGCAGGCTGGTTGGAAAGTCGAGCTGGGAAGTTTTCTCTGTTGTTGTTTGACATGTGTCACTCTTCCATGTTCTCCTTGTTGCAAAAGCCAATTATAGATTGGGGCAGTTGCCTTTTTTTTGTACTGTTGATATACTGGTTAAGGGGTGCACTGGACACCTTAGCTGCCACTGTGCTATATGCTGGATGTCTACTGTGCCCCTGTGCCTTTAAGGAGGGGTGGGCTGCCTCCAGGCTAACCTGCCTCAGTCTATCCATTATTATACATGTGCTTCTACTATGGAGGCTCTCAAAATTTATAGAGTTAGGAACTGCAGAGTACCAGGGTGCCGTGGAGAGGCTCTATAGCTTACACATGTATTTGAAAATGTGTGCAAATTAACCCATTTTTAATGTGAAATTCTAAACACGACAATTAAGTTGGTTGCAGGCTGGTTGGTAAGTTGAGGCGGGAAGTTTTCTCTGTTGCTTTTTGTAAAGTGAAACTAAACCCATCTATTTATCCATTTCAAAAAACAGTTACATTCCCAACATGCCAGGAATGCTATCACATTTGCTTGAGCTGTCAACCAAACTGTCAAACCATCAAATTACTGGTGTCATAACTGATCACATGCGCATCACCATGAAAGTTACATTTCAAACAGAAGCCAAGATGGCAGTTTCCTTGGCTGAAAAGGATAGGAGGGTTTAGTTCAGCTTTAGGGCTCGTTCACACTCATCGTGTTCTGCACACGTTCTGCCAAATCACAACAAAATCTTGGAAAGGGTCTAGGGCTATATGGGATGCTCAAGGAGCCTGAAATTTGAGGATAAACTGTACACCGTACAAAATGTAGATCCACAAAAAATAGCAACGTCTCTTTAAGAAGCACTAATGTCCCCTTGATGTACCTGCTCAGGGTGAATCCTCTTCCTCCTCCTGCACTGAGGGTATCTCTGGGCAAGGGGTCCCAAAAACTAACCAGGAAGTAACTAACAATAAAGTAGTCCTGGGTGAGAACTAGTTGGGTCTTGCATCTGACCGCCCTCTTCCCCTATTTGGCCCAGGGAGTGTAGGGGTACTTTCACTGTCCTGTCCTGTTAGCTTGGTGAGTTGGTGGCTGCCTTCAGGCCTTACGCTGGGCTGGCTCCTTTCCTGCCCCAGGTTGTCCTTCCAAGGAGACGGAGGAACAGTGGAGATCCTCCCTTCAAGCAATCAGCCTGTAGGTAGGCTCCACACTCCAGCCTTCCTCTCAGTCCATCTTCAGTTCCAAGCTTGTTTCTATTTCACAAAGCTCTGTCTGCTTACTGCCTCCTTCAAATCCTTTGCTGTATTTCCAACTTAAAAAAAATGTATATACAAAATAAAAATTTGATTGAGATAAAAACCCAGAGGAGTTCACATTATCCCACAAACACTATAAAAAACACCAAACCTTTGGCATTGCTTACTAATACAGAACAGCCAGTGGAGGCCTTCATCCAGGTGGCATGTTACAAAATTGTAAATCTGGGAACAGTGAACACTGCATGGGCAGGAGATAGCCATGTCTAAACTGCACAGCAATAAGGTGAACACAATTTTACATAAAGCCAGTCAATGAACTGCAAGGGTGTTGATGAGTGCTTTCGTAGTCCATAAATTCTTCCTGCCGTTTCATATGAGGTATGGGCAGACAGCCTACTGAGTGCCTGCAGGATGCAGGCATTGCACCCACGAGAGGTGGCCGGTTGGCACATAGAGGACCGTGCATTTCTCTGTTCACCTATGTTCCGCCTATCCATCTCCTGCAGGCTATATGCCCCGGGCTCCTGTATGCTCTCCCCATGACCGGCCTCCCCTCATCTCCAGGAGCACTGCGGGGGGGATCTGTCCCCCCCCCCCACAGATGGAAGAGAAGAGAGAAAGCTGCCCCTCCTCCTCCCGCCCTCTCCTCTTGTGTCTGCCCTGCCCACACTCCCCACCAGTCTTCTGTCTTCTTTTCCCCCTTCTTTCTTTCTTTCTTTCTTTCTTTCTTTCTTTCTCTGTCTCCTGTTTCTCTCCTTTCTTTCTTTCTTTCTTTCTTTCTTTCTTTCTTTCTTTCTCTCTCTCTCTTCTCTCTCTCTCTTTTTTTTTTTTCCTTATTTCTTTCTTATACTTCTGTCTCTTTTCTTTCTCTCTCTCTCTCTCTCTCTCTCTCTCTCTCTCTCTCTCTCTCTCTCTCTCTCTCTCTCTCTCTCTCTGTCCTGTGTATCTCCTTTCTTTCTTTCTTTCTTTCTTTCTTTCTCTGTCTCCTGTTTCTCTCATTTTTTTTTATTTCTTATACTCCTCTCTTTTTTTATCTCCTTTCTTCTTTCTTTCTTTCTTTCTTTCTTTCTTTCTTTCTTTCTTTCTTTCTTTCTTTCTTTCTTTTATTCTTTCTTTCTTTCTTTTTCTTTCTTTCTTTCTTTTTCTTCCTTTCTTTCTCTTTCTTTCTTTCTTTCTTTCTCTTTTCTTTCCTTTCTTTCTTTCTTTTTTTCTTTCTTTTTCTTTCTTTCTTTCTTTCTTTCCCTGGGCTTTGTGCTGCTCAGTACAAAATGCCCTATTTTTTATCCCAGTCCGGGCCTGTGTGTGGCCATTTGTAATCTCCACTGTAAGCTCATATTAGGTGACAAAGGTGAAGAACAGTTGGAAAACATATACCTTAACATGTCTTAACATTAAAAGCTGCAAATTACAAAATACTGAAAATTGCTTTTGAATACAGCTAATAGGGGAACTTTTGGAGAGTTTTTTTGGGGGGAAGCTGGTACCTAGTTTTGAGCAGGTACCCTCTCCCACTTCTACTCCTACCATCTAGGCATCCCCCCATGCCCGCAACCTTCTGGGACATGTCACAGGTCCCAGGTCCCAGGAGATTGTGGGTCCATTCACAATGAGTCTCGCAATCACAGCCTGCTTTCCTTAGTAAACATGTCGGCGCCAGGGACCCAAACACTGGCGAAGAACCAGCCTGGGTGAAGACAGTTAAGTGTCCTTTTAAAAAAGTTAGCAGCTTCAGTATTTGTAGCACTGACTTTTTTTTTAAGAGACTGAAAAACTACTTTAACATGTTAAGGCATGAGGCTCTATCTGCCTACAGAACAGTACCCATGTTACATAGTTACATAGTTAGTCTGGCTGAAAAAAAGACAAAAGTCCATCCAGTTTAACCATTAAAAAAAAAAAAAAGTTATAATCCTATACCACCAGTTGATCCAGAGGAAGGCAAAAAAAAAAAAAACCCAGCAAAGCATGATCCAATTTGCTCCTGCTGGGAAAAAAAATTCCTTCCTGATCCCCCGAGAGGCAATCTGATATTCCCTGGATCAACTTTACCTATAAATGTTAGTATCCAGTTATATTCTGTGTATCTAAGAAAGAATCCAGGCCTTTTTTAAAGCAATCCACTGAGCTGGCCAGAACCAACTCTTGAGGGAGTCTATTCCACATTTTCACAGCTCTCACTGTGTAGAAACCTTTCCGTGTTTGGAGATTAAATTTATTTTCCTCCAGACGTAAAGAGTGCCCCCTTGTTCTCTCTGATGACCTCAGGGTAAATAGCTCTACACCGAGTTCACTATATGAACTATTGATGTATTTATACATGTTGATCATATCCCCCCTTAAGCAGGCCATAGATGGGTCGAAAATCGGCCGATTATCGCACTGTTAATGGGTTAATTGATCGGCCGTTTTTCTGGATTTTGGC